TTTTCTGTGAAAAAAATAGAAATAAAATGTATGTCTTCCTATAATAAGGTTTTTCTCTGTCGGGCGCCTAATGCAGCAAGGAATTCAGTGCTTCATCCTAGACAAAATTTTTCAAATTGCCGCGAAAACGCGAATTTGGAACGAGACGTCACTTTCCCAAACATGCGAGGAGGCCTAATTTCTCATTAGTAAACCATTCCAAAACATGGCTGACATAAAACTAGACACAACCTGACCTATTTTCGTCCTTTACTACTTTATAAAAAAAGAAAGGATAGGTATAATCGGTGAACTCTTGCTACCTAGTAAAATGATCCTAAACATTTCGGCATTTCTAATGTAAAATGTGACAAAAAGCGCATGAATATCGGCTTTAGCCAATGAGAGGCACGTGAAAATGGACTATTGTGCGCAGCGAATTTTAATAAAGGACCACGCACGGATCTTATGAGAAAAAATAAATTTCACGATTGTCATGAAATTGAAGTAAGTTATGCTTCTCGACCTCCTGAACGTAAGTTCTCGTAGGCCCAAAAAGATCCTATGATTAGTTTCGGAGATACAGGACCGATAAAAAAAGGTAGTACAAGAAAAATCTCCACAATCTGCTGGTACATTAATTTAATTCATAACCAAAGATGACATATTTTTGGCATTTTTAGACAAGTTTTCAACCTTCAAAGCTTCAGATGACATTACTTTGGCATTTTTACACCTGTTTTTAACCTAGAATATGTCATTGCCTGAACTAAACATATTTTGAAATGTTAATTTTTTGTTAAAATTTTGTATGTTAACCTGGCCCTGTATCTCGGAATCTAATCATAGGATCTTTTTGGGCCTACGAGAACTTACATTCAGGAGGTCGAGAAGCATAACATATTACAATTTCATGACAATCGTGAAATTAATTTTTTCTCATAAGATCCGTGCATGGTCCTTTCATTAGATTTTGCAGGTACGGAACATAGTTACCGTTTATAATATAGCACTATTAGGCAATTCAATCCATCTGTCAGATAGGGAAATTCAATATGGCGTGGCGGCCAAGCAAGTTTGTTTTGAATATGTTTTTATGCGTATTTCAAATTATTTTGCTTAGAGTTTTGCTTGCAACTTTGATTTGGACTATTTAATAAAATATTTGTTGACTAGGTACCTAAACTAATAAATCGAGCAGATTCTAGATATTTTTTTCTGTTTTTTGGCCCATGTGTGGCCGCCACGCCATCTTGAAAGTCACGTGGTTTGAATTGCCTAATTGAAAAATGTGTCAAATTTGATTGGCCAGATAAGCCAGAGAACTTTAATACCGGGACACTTACGAAATTATGTAAAGGCCGAGATAGACGCTCCGTCATGTTCATCAACTTGTTTGCGCAAACTTATATTGTACGGCAAGACTGAATCCTTATTTGACTCCTAACTATTCAGTCTTGTTGATCAATTAACCGTTCAGTTAATAAAAAGCAATATGGCTGACGATCTGATTGGTGCAGCTGCTATTGCCAAAGTTTCCATTATGCAGTGAAAAAGCGGAAATTGAATAAGAGAAATCGTTCGAAGTGGTCAAAAGAATGATTACTCAAACGACAACAATTATCACATGTCAATTTACTGAATAGGCTTCGATTAGAACCTGAGGATTGGTTTAATTATTTGCGAATGAACGAAGAAATTTACATGGAATTGCTTCAGAAAGTTACGCCAAAGGTTAGTTACGGCTCAAATTGAAAGGATATGTGCAGTTATGAGAAAAGCAATATCTCCACAGCAATAATTTAATTTTTCTATGAATTTCTCATGAGCTGCATTTTTGTTGTGTTTGTCCGAGCATTCTTTTTGATTTCACATTCCAAAGACATGAATTTTCCCTATCTGAATTGATGGAATTCGTGAGGAAGTCATGAGACGTAGGTCTCACATGCTTGAATATAGGTACTATATTATCTTCTTGAATTTAAAATTCGCCTGCACTCTGCACAAGGAAATTTTCTCTAGCAGAAATTAAAGGCACAATTGATGATTTAAGACTTTGGTTGAGAGAACTGTTACATGCCACACATTACAACTTATCGCTAGACAAGTCTGTATACGCAGGAAAATATCTGACAAGTTTGATTTCATTCAAGCCAAACAATTGTCTGTGCAAATTTAATAAATCTGCCGACTTATCAGCACTAACGCTGCGATTATTCGTACAATTTAGGTTTGCGCAAGCAAGTTGATGGACATGACGGAGCGTCTATCCCGGCCTTTAAACACACTTAAAACTGTCTAGAATTTGACATATATACTATCATTATTATATGAGGGTCACCCTGCCAAATTTCCAAGAATGATGATACGCCAATAATATCTGAAAGGCAAATATTCTAGCTTAGCATATTATAAGCTTAGCTATTCCTTCTGAAAAGGCTCCGTATGCTAAAACATGTAGGTAACGGTTTCATTAAAAACAAAATGATGGAAATCTGCAAGCTTTTTTGGTTCCTTTCAAAATTTGAATAGATACTACTGGTTACTCAGGACAGAAGACATATTGGCAAAGACTGTGAGAAGAAGCTTTCGTCCAACAGTGGATAGGATAAGTTAACGATGACAGTGATGATGATGCATCAGGCAGAAGACTGACCGGTTTAACGAAAAACAGCTTTCTTTAGGGTTTTCTCTTTTCTTCTAATTATTTTTAACTTATGTCTTATGTTAAGAAAATGCATCGACAACCCGACCAGGATTCTAGGAATTTCGTTTTTTACCTCTGGAGTACGTCCTTTCTGGGAATTTTATTATATTCGAAAATAGTTATTTTTCTAACAAGTGCGCAAAGTGATACTTTCCCGCACGAAAAAGCAGTTAGACGAACGACGCGAAGCGGAGTTCGGATAAGCTTTGAGTGCGGCAAAGACACTTTGCGCAGGTGTTAGGAACAATACTTTTTCTACGAGTGTTTAAGATTTGCATCCAGAGGAGCTGTATACCTAATCTTTATAAATTTTTCCAGATGCTCAAAATTCGTAATTTTTTCTCCTAGTTCAATGTGTTGTGTTTTCAATTTTTTTTTTTTTAATGCAACATGGTTGTGATCACGAGGTTTAATTATAATTTGAGCAAGACGTCAAGTTTGTTTTTTCTGTCAAATTTTGATATGGAGGAGTATAACTACTTACAGTCCAACTTTTATAATCTAATACTCCAAAGGAATGTGAGTTGGTGGCTCTCCATGCCAATGGTCACCTGACCTCACATCTGTTTCTGCTGAATTTTTCCTCCCGTCGCTCCTCATACGGAAAGTGCCAATTAAAAAAGCTAAACATTACCTGAATGCCTTTTATGGAACAAAAATAACATCAGGCCCTTCTTTCCGAATATGAGTACCTATATCAAGAAACCCACAAAACATTGAAAAATCGAGTATAAATGCGGTAACTATGCGTAACAAAAACTAGTCCGCAAAGAGTTTCCGTGCGCAAAGTTCAGCTTTGTGCACGCAAATGAGTGTGCAAAGTAATAACTTTGCGCACGCTCGTAGAAACACATGTTTTTCTACACATAGATCTGGAGTACCTACGATTTCGACTATGAATAGGGAGTGGGTCGTAGTATAGTTATTGAGTCGAAATAAAAGCTTTGTTGTAGTCAATCTAAATAAGAGTGTTTTTGTGAGAAATTTGAATTCGAGATTTGTTGTGGAAGTTTCTATAAGTGATAAGTGAAAGATACCTCATTTGGTGGTTTCACCAAGGCACCATTATTCAGGCTTTCGCCAAGCTGTCGGGAATTTCAAATTCATCCAATTTTTAGTGCTGAGAGAGAACTTCATGATATTTAGGATATTATTCAAAATATAAGCGCTTCAAAGGCCTATGGAAAAAAAAGTTGCACTGAATTCAATAATGCAGGTTAATGTGATATTCAGTCTGCTATTAATTAGTACCTTCTCATCACACATTTATTGTTCGATAATAGGTCTGTTTCTGCACAAATCACAAACCAGTCAGAGCGAATTTCATTGGTTGAAAACAGTCAGAAAACTAGTTTCAACCAATGAAATTAACTCTGACTAGTTTGTGATTTCTGCAGAAACAGATCTAATAAATACAGGTATTTAGTTAATCGATATTCTATTCCTTAAAGTAACAAGTAACCAATTTTTAATGCTAAACTGAATACTAGATTTTGTATAAGCACGTAAAAGACATAATGTTAACGTAAACTCTTTACAGCTAAACCCTAATAGGCATAACTCTGGTCAGCGCTATAAAGACTACTAGAGAGCAAATTATAAGATTGATTACTATTTATTATTGCATGGAACTATAGTTAGTGATGGATTACTTTCCATCAGACTTATTTTATTAACTATTAGTTCATGACTGCAAAATGCAAATAAATAACTGTTTCTATTTTAAACAAAGATCACATACGGCATAGGTAGGTACGTATTTTATCTTAAGATGATCCATCCAATTATTACATCGGTATAGTATAGGTAAGTTTGTTTACTCCTAATTTATGTTATCCATTGAATAAACTGAACTGAAGCAAATCCTAGATGCATGATTAGTCTAATACAAGATAGATAACCCATAATCATGACATGGCTTCGCGATACAAGATTAAGAATGTACCAATATAAAAATAATATCACGTTAGTGTAGTGGAGTTTATTTAATATAAAAAATTAAACCAAAATCCATTCAATGGTCCTTACTGTAATGACTGTCTTGTATTTGAATTGGATTTAAATTTTTCGATGTTTCCGTTCTTTAATGTCTGTTTTAACTCAAATTTTCAACTTGCTGCTTCTTTTTCTCTGCCAAATGCCAATACGTCTAGCGACCTAAACTACCTACTTTGTAATATGTGAGCAAACTTGCCCCTGATGATGAGGTTTTCCAGCCTTGAAACATGCAGCATGCAGGGCGCTTCAACTTGATTAAAGTATTTTGTGGAGGAAGACTTTGTAATTTCTTTCGGAATTAAAACAAGAAACTTACCACAATCTTCCCCAAAAGTTCAGTTCCTGAAGTATCCTGAGGTGGAGGCGTTAAGGGTGGCAGTATTACTGTGTTCAAAGGAACTTTTCTGTTTTCAGCGATAGAGTGACGCCTTGCAAATGTTATTTGTCTCATTTTATTAAGATACATTACCTATCTAGTTGAATCTTGATTTAAATACTGTAGTGATACATTCAATACTGGTACATTTTTTGCAATTCAATAAGTAATCTATTCTAGGTATTTCTATAATTTACAATAAACTTTGTAAGGATATTCAATTTATTCACACCACAGCTATACCTAGTATACTATTGCACTAAATTTATACGAAACAGAAACACAACGCCGAATAAAACACCAAAACCAGAAATTACCTACACAAAAAAAAGTTCAAACTATTGAATAAACTTCTGAAACAACTCAAATTTATTATGAAAAAAATCCATATTTCAAATGCTTATAAAATTCCTTCAAAATTTAATTATCAACAAACTTTCGTCATCGTCTAACACATAGGCCGTTATTGGTTTGCTTATACACTTTTCCTTTTCTATTGAGTGTTTTGTTAGGCGTCATGAGGGTTTCCACGGGCAACGGATCAACAAGAATTTCACAGTGGCTGAAGTGGGGTTGCAATTAGGACAAAATGTATTTGGTGGAAAATTAAAATTACTTAGCTTTAAGAAACTAGTCACGTGTTTAATGAGTTTAAAAAAAAAATCAAATTGAACACCGCCTATTGAAGAAATTCCTGTTCGTCAATATTCATCTTATCTGGCATTGGGTTTGGTTTTGAATGGACCTCTTGCATGCATTTTTTTATTTGCTTATTGGAAAGAGGAGTCAAACTAAAGCTTAACTGTATTTTTTTCAAATTTTTTTCGGACTTGCAAAGGCTTTAAATTTCGATTTGAAGTTCAAATTTCTTGGTGCCGTGACGACACGGCACCAAATTCCTGATTGGTCAATTTTATTCAGTGTTGCCCAGATGTCAAGAATTTCATGTAAACTTTTCCTGGGGGCGACAACAAGTATCGGATATGGAATCGATTCTCATCCCTATATGGAAAACTTAACCCAACTTTTCAATTCATTATACCTTAATGATTATTTATTTTTATTTATTTATTATCAGCCTCTCCAAAACAGACAGAAGGCAGAGGGTCACACAAACCATCAAGAAACAAACAATAAACCCGAGCATAAGGCCATTATGTCGTTCATAATTGAATACTTTAGGTACTCAATCAGGGCCGTAGCGATATGACTATCCCTAGGGGGGGAGACTGAGATTCGGCGCCCCCTAAGCGCCGCGAAGGCAATTCAGAGGCGAATAAAAATTGACTTTTTTGCAACTTTGGCAGACTATAAAACCTAAGCGGTTAATTTGAGACTTTAGAGCAATTATTTGACACCAACTTTGAATTTAATCCATGATTGTAAACTCCTTACAGCCTACAAAGTTGCAAAAAATCAATTTTCAACTATCAATATTTCCAAAACAAGGTTGAACTTAGGTATAGGAATGGGTATAGGGTATAATATCGCATGAGATCTGCTAAGAATTTTACCACAGCATATATAAAAACAAACAGCAGGTTAACTCTTACTAGAGGTGGGCCAACCTGCGATTTTATTGGAGCTGCGACAAGACGTGACTGCTCCAGTCGTGTCACTGTGACAAATAGCAGTGATTTTTTGGAGCAGTTTTACCTTAGTTAGCGGCCGTACTGCTAATACTATGTTAATGCTACATCGCAACATGGCATGGCATAATCACAGTCCGCAGTCACGGCCGAGAGAGATGTTCCAGTTTCCAGCCTGCCTTCTGCTCTGCAGTAGCAGTTTCTATTTAGCGTGACCGCGATGCGATTTATAATATTCATTTGCATCACTTAGCTCGAGTTTTGTCAGCGCTGCATCGGTCGGAGCTTGAAGCGGGCAGTGACAAAATGTCACTGCTACTTGACTGAGACTGGAGCAGGCCGTGACAGTGACAGACGAGTAGCAGTGACAAAGTCACAGTTCGTGAAATCGCAACCCACCTTTAACTCTTACGCGCATCATCTCTGCGCAAGCTGCTATTCGAGGATACAGCTCATCACGGCTGCAGCAGAATCACGAAATTTAACGCGTATCATCTTTTCTGCGCACGCCGCCATTTGAGGATACAAATCTCGAGTTAGCCAGCTGATTGTTCTTGTATATGCTGTGATTTTACATAGAATCTGAATACTCAATAATATACTAATATACAGGGTATTTCATTTAAAATAAGAAATTTGGACCACGACCAGCTTTTCTGGAATACCCTTTATATGCGAAAGTAAGTTTTTTAAAAAAATTTGTTTCAACCATAAAACTTCTGCGAGCAAAAAGAGTGAATTTTGACAGACGTCACATGATCACTTATCCACCACATCTTTTTTCACGTGTCAAATCACGTGACATCTGTCAAATTTTGCTCATTTTGCTCGCAGATGCAATTCCAATTGACGTGTCTCGCAGAGATAGAAAAAGAGAGCTTAATTGTAATAAATACAAGTTTGAAAGTAATAAAAAATGACATGCGCGCGCAACTCGTGGCTACAGTGTAGCCAGATTGTATTGTTGCAGAACAAATGTAGACAATACAAATCGAACATTATAACATTATAGAAGTGATATATTGTCAAGTGTTTTACAACGCCTTAAATCAGACAAAAGAAGAGCTTTAAAGTGTATGTTAACATCGATGGCACTTTTATTTTGATAAATGTTTCATCCGGCAATATCGCACAATGAAAATATGTCAAGTATAATAATTTAACATAACCTTAAACGACACTGGGATAAGTTTATAACGTACTTATTTTGGCAATTGCCTAATTATACTACTACGGCTAGTCAGCTTCAGTTCGGAGGCCATGGGTCTATGGGTTCCTTGTATACATCTTACCTTTGGGCGCCATCAAGTTAATTTTGACTTAACTAGGAAGATAACTTAATGATGTTATAAACAAAACCTGTGCAATTGGAGAGCTTATCAATAAAACAACTAATTAGGTACAATAATGTATCTGGCTTCTTTATTAAAAATAATAACAAAATATAGGGATAGCCAGTAGAGGTGGGTTGCGATTTCACGAACTGTGACTTTGTCACTGCTACTTGTCTGTCACAGTCACAGCCTGCTCCAGTCTCAGTCAAGTAGCAGTGACATTTTGTCACTGCCCGCTTAAAGCTCCGACCGATGCAGCGCGGACAAAACAGGAGCTGTGATGCAAATTTAATAATATAATGTTATAAATCGCATCGCGGTCACGCTAAATAGAAACTGTTACTGTAGAGGGCAGGCTAGAAACTGGAACATCTCTCCCGGCCGTGACTGCGGACTGCGATTATGCTTTATTGCGATGTAGCATTAACATAATATTAGCAGTACGGCCGCCAACTAAGGTAAAACTGCTCCAAAAAATCACTGCTATTTGTCACAGTGACACGACTGGAGCAGTCACGTCTTGTCACTGCTCCATTAAAATCGCAGGTTGGCCCACCTCTAATAGCCAGGAGGTTATTAAAAATGTGTATACATTATGGCTTGTACCAATTTATAAATATTTGATTATCAAAAGAATGAATGTAAATAATGCATATATAAATATGAATTTTGAATAAACATGATGAAAACCTTCTGGTATTTACACTTGTGAGAGATAAGAATAATTCAGTATGGATTACACTTTACCATCAGGCAAATTAAACACAGAAAGGTGAAATTTATAGTTAGGGCAACCTCAGGGTGAAATTCTAGAATTTTATTTAAGGGGCACTTACTGAACCTGATTTAGTATCAAGTGATTTACATAAGATTTGCCTAAATAGTAAAGGTGCAACTTACATGGGATACATAGTTATCTTCAAATGTATGTGTAACTCCAGAAGTTTCCAAAGTGAGATTATCTACAGGTTTGGTCTCACTATAGATAGGCTAAGGTATGGTAAGTGAGTCATGAGTCCTATCCACGTGGTATCTGTAACGTAGAACTCGACGTGGTTCTGCCAGAGTGGCACCAAGAGAGTTGCTGAAGAATGGCTACCAAAGTCCCAACTGAGAGCGATATAGATCCAGTCTAGAATCTCTCTAAATACAGCTTAGCAACTGTCCAACTATAGTCTGAGACTAGGATTGTCCAACTATAGCCTGAGACTAGGATTGTCCAACTATAGCCTGAGACTAGGACCCTCAAATTGAGGGATACTCTAGACCAAAGGTGAAGTCTTAAACTTCCAAATGTTGCTCGGAACAGTCCGAAACAGAATCCAAAATGACCAAGGGACGACTCTAGACAATTATCAGCAAGAAATTAGTCTACTTGAGCTCCCTGGCACAAAATTCCAAAAAGTCTCGCCCCAAAAACAATTAGGGCCCAGGCCCGACACCGGACGACTACTCAGCGTGAGGTCGCAGATCAAAAAGGGCAGATTCTTCATTTAGAAATTCAATTTCGGAAGAAGACTTTCCTCTGTCAAACTTCTAATTTTGACATTGAAGAAAATTATAGAAAAGGACGTGTTCAGTTTCACCCCAAAAGTACGAACTGAGAATCGGTTGTGTAAAAAATGACTGGTGAATGTTGAAAAGTGCCTATAGAACATATATCAAAAGGTAGAACAGGTCTAAAGAAAACGCCTAGACAAAACAGCTGTTCAATGACATGATGGAAATGAAAAGTCAAAGAGTACAAAAAAACAACAATTATTATCATAACCTCAGATTATTTATTTATCAATTAGATTTGCAAACAGAGATGATGAATAAAAACTCTCCTTTTCCTAAGATTCTAATCAATAACAGCGGGCCCTGCCGTACTGAATCAAACCTTCCTAGATCAATTAACAAAACTTGCAAACCTGCACCAAAAAAAACTTTCAGTAGAAGGCAGTACTCAAGGTAACAAAATCTGGGCACAGAAAAGATAGTTGTTTATTCATTTATTTCATTGTAATTCTATATGGAATCATATCTACTAAAGCAAAACAAGGTAGCTTATTAGCCAAGAAATTGAAAATGTTACAAGTTCAAGTAATACGTAAAGTATTAGTTTGCTCTTTGTCGAATTACACGTTATAAAGAGAGAAGGAACGATTAATTCTGAACTCGTCCCTGAATACGATTATGACGCAAGCCCGTAACAAACTCGATTTTCATTGGACGCTCACCTGCAACCCACGAGCTGCGCGCGCACACCAGGTATTACGAGACACGTCAATTACCGAATCCAGCCGGGATTCACTGAGTTTCGGTTTTGATGGAACTTTTGACTGAAACGTGTTCACAATACCGCCGGGGCGTGTTCCGCGCGCACTGCAGCCTCCGGTTGCATGCTGAATAAGCATAAAAATACTATCCTTTCTGTATTATAATCGTTGTAAAATAGTATT